AGCACCCAGCCCCGAGCTCTCCCTGGGCTGACGCAGTCCCGTCACCCCCCCTTGCCCTCCCCACCTCCCTGTATTGCGCTAATTAATTCCTCCAGCAGCACGAATAATTCAGCCAGAGGATTTGTCCGCTTGTGCCCCACTGGAAAGCATCAGGAGGGGTTCATGGAGGTGCGTGGGGTGCCTGGATGTCCCCCAGGGCCACCTCTGCGGCCCCCTGTCCCACTCGCAACCTCCACTACTGCCCTGAGCTGGGCAGTCCTCAGCCCTGGGGTGCTTTCCCGGCTGCTCTGGGCTGGGGGAGCATCCTCAAGGGACCCCACCCCACCCACGCTCCCAGCCCCAAAGCCAACCCCGAGGATGGAGGGGGGACAGGGACCCCCACGCCAGGTTTCGGGGCCCCAGGGGCTGCGGTTTGCCCTGAGTCTGTCCCTGCCCTCCCGCCGGGTCCTTCCCCTCATCCAACCCTGGGGAAAAACATCAGAGCGGAAAAACAGGAGAGCTTCTGACATTGTTCCCTCCATCACATGCGAAGGCAAAGCCAGAGAGGCCGGGAAAAATCTTCAACAATTGGTTTTGGCAAGAAGAAGCAAACCAGAGCTTTTCATTAATTTTTTTTTTCTATTTTTTTTTGTTGTTGCTAGAAAGGTTGCTCTTCCTCCAGCGAGAGCTTGAAGGATGGCTTCTCACCAGCTCCATCCCTAAACCATCTCCCCAGGATGGTGCAAGCCCAGCCCAGATTTAGGAAAACCCACCGGGGCATCGCAGGATCAGGCCCCCGCGTCCCTGGGGGCTGCAGTTGGGTGCGTGGGGGGTCTGCACCCCGTTGTGCCCCACAGCTTGGACCTGCCGTGGGGACTTGGCTGCTGCAGGTGCAGGTTGAGGTGTCCCACGTTGGCACAGGGTGGTGGGGGCAGACTGGGGCATCTCCCCAGGGATTTGGGGTTCCCTGAGCCCCCAGTGCTGGCTGGGGTGTCCCACACCCCGCAGGGACGTGCTTTATCCCCGCGGCTCCTGCCTTGCAAACGCAGCGGCCACCTCCAGCCAAAAGCCACCCTGGCCGAGGGACACCCCGAGAGGGGCCACCGCCTTGCAATGCCCTGACCAAAACCAGGGGGGGGAAAAAGTCATCCAGAGGGGGAGAAAAATAAAACCCAGCCCCAAAAGCAATCAGGCAGCCCCAGATGCCTCTGGGTACCCCCAAACACCTCTGGGGCACCCCCAGACGTCTCCAGGCAGCCCCTCAGCACAAACCTCCCACGAAGCACAGGCATCCCCAGCACCCTCCAACCCAAGCCCCATGAGACCCCCTGACCCTGCCGCTGGATCAGGCCCCTACACGACACCAGTCTGCAGCAAACTGGGGGGGGTGGGGAATCGGGCTGTGCCTGGGGTCTGCCCCCCCCCCAAAATCACCACGCTGGTTGACAGGGCTGCCGCCTGCCCCGGCTCCTCCATGGGGGCTGGAGGCAACTCAGCCCCCCCAAAACCCCCAAGCTGGGTGCTACAGGGCAGGG